CGCCTACCATCCCACCTGCATGCCTGCCTGGCTGACATGCTTATCGCCAGAGGGGTTGACTAGGTATAGTCCCGGGTGAGGGGAGGCCTTTGTGTCCATGAAAGAAGTTTATTGACTTCATCTTTCTCCTCTTTCGCTGCATGTCACGTTTTCCGGGAGAAGGCTGCCGGATGCAGAACTCTGGGTCCATTTCCCTCGCATAGCTAAGTCTGAGAGAGAAAAGGGTATACGGTATACGGTAGGTTGGTTGTGGTTTATGGGGGAGGCGGTGTAGCCTGCAACGATTGTCCCATTGATGGACGGAGGTTGTAGATGGGAGGAACTGGTTGTCAAATACTCCCCAACGCCTTGTCTCCCAGAGCCACTGGAGCAAGTCAAGGGAAGGATGCCGAGTATTCAAACGTTCAGATGTTACTCGCTCAGTAACTATTCTAGACCTAATAGTCGGAGAAACATTCTGTCTATTGTTCTAACTGACAATAAGTTCTTTATACCCTTAATCTCAATTCTAGCATTTTATCTCTGCATCGTATAGGCCGCATCTACTAGGCACAGGTTCTTCGACTTGCCATGGAAAGTCGGGATGAAGACACAATATTTTAAGGTTGGTAGTCCCCGTCCAATATGTGCTCGTTCCTCACGGTCTCTTAGCGTTCGGTGGCACTTATCGGCCGCTAACTTTTCGATATAGAGGCCGAGATTGCTGAGAAGGTCACCCCAGTCAAAGGAAGCAGTGTTCCAAGCCGTCCCGGGTGCCCCGGGCAAGGTGGGAAAGGACTACCGGGCATGGCGTCCGTCTTTCATAAGGACTACGACCCAGGGTTGACGCCTGGGTTCTGCAGTCTTAGTCCAAATGGAGTTTTCCAGCCACCATCTGCAGGGCCCGATCACCATCTATAGTGCCCGACCACCGTCTGCGGGCCCGGCGGTCATCGGTAGGAATTAGGCACGTTCCCCACCTTGAGATAGCTGCTGCGCCCGCCCATCCATCCCGGGCAGTGGTCTGAATGGACGCCAAGATACTCGTCTATCCTGGGCATCCTCCCATGCAATACGGTCCGTCCCATCCGCACCCAAAGACGGATGGACTGGACGCTGCTGGGAACATTGAAAGGAAATGTAATGATCATCCTCCGGGGAGACATCAATAAAGTCACGGAACCAAAAGTGGACACACGTCGTATTGACCATATTAAGGAGGTTCTTCCTCGCTAGATCAGCTTAAATCTCTTCCCTTGTTTTAAGGAGTAACCCACCCAGCGACCTGACATGCATGTGGCTAATCTAGAGAACGGGTTTCTCCTCCAAATCTCCATGAATCCAGTAATCTTACCAACCTAAGTGAATCCCTTATATAATCAGCGGGTCCGTGCCAGCCTTGAAGAGTGAATGTTTCCACATCAATTTCACACTTCTGGTGAAATCCCACCTGAACAAACTCGTCATTGCTGAGTCAGGCATGTGTAACGCGGGTTCTCCTCCATTTTCACAATCATAACGGCAGAAACTGCCTCGTTACCGTCGAGCCACATCTCCATGTCAAGAAAAAATACCTATGTGAGCCAAGTTAGAAGAAATATAATCAAAATGAATGTGATAGATTTACACACATGAGAAGTGTCAATGGAATGGTGTTAGGGAATGATGATAACTGGTGGGGAGGATAAAGCAAACAATAATAGAAAAGAGCGTGAGAGGGTGAAAAGTAGAAAAAATGTGATCAAACTCTCCTTTGAGTGTTAACAGCAGTGATTTGAACAGTTTTCTCACCGGTAGTTGCTGTGGTGGTAAGGAGGTTGTCAGGTTCAGCTGCTCTGCGAAATGGATTGATTATAACAGTAACTAAGGCAATGCCAAACACCCAGAGAGCGTTGGGCCTACGTAGACCAGAACAGTGCACAAGAAAATCAACCGAGCCCAGAACCCTACCCTATCTGATATGTATCATACTTGAGTAGGAGAGGAGAGATATGATAGAGAGAAATAATAATAATAGGACGAGGAAATAGGACGGAAATAAAGGCAACGACCAATTGAAAAACAGTGGTAAGATTTTCATTTTTACTTTTTCTCTACGCTCAAGGTCACAATGGAGAGATTGCTGGTTATTATACTCAAGAAGAGAACCTTTGTTTTGGCACTATTGTTGCAGTTTGATTGTTCAAGTTGCCGTTCCTCGTCAACAGACACGGCGCCTTAAGTACTCAAAATGATACTGGTAATTAGGGTCATTGAGGTTCCGCGTCCCAATCAGACTCAGAATGCCCTAAGGAATTTCACAGAGCGGCGGCCTTAGCTCACCTTTTAAACACTTGCACCAGAGTACTTCCAGCATTGATTTTGCAGCTGATTGATTCTCTACGAGTAAACACGGATTACGTTTATCGGGATCTAATCTTGCATCAGATAAGATGATTACAAATGTGGGAGTCCTGACCCTAAGAGTCAGCAACGTGATCTGCCGGCATGGTGAGGTCACTGGGAAACGCGTTTTCCAGCTTTTCGCCGACAGCCGCTTCGTCGCGTCCCACCAGCTCTGCACCTTCAACCACCAAACCGCTCTCAATAAAAGCCTCCAAGAAGAAGAGCTCTACGAATACCACTGCGAAATCGATCAGGATCTCCACATGCCTCCTAAAGGTAAGAAGCGTCAGGCGGAAAAGTATAAAAGTGACGACGGATTCGTTGAGGATGCTGCACCGTCGAGCAAACGTTCTAAGGTAGATATTGGGAAGAAGGCTCTCGATAACGAGGGAAACCCCTATTGGGAGGCAAGTTTTTTTCTTCTTTTCTTTTTAGGCCGAGATGGATTTGCTCCGTGCTTACATGCCCTAGATCGGAGGACGCCTTCGTCGTGTTGCTGTGAGTAAATTTGGCGGCAAGCACTTGATAAACATTCGCGAGTATTTCGAAAAGGACGGAAAGGTCCTTCCGGGAAAAAAGGTAATATTTATTATGCTTATTCATATTCATTAGATGCTAACATTATATTCTTAGGGTATCTCTCTTAGTATGGAGCAATTTGACACCTTCTTATCCGTCCTTCCACAAATTGAGCAGCATCTTGCAGATGCGGGCGTCCGGAAACCAAGTTCTGGTGAGTCGGCTGCTGTCGAACAGGAGGACGAAGGCGGGGCCAAGGAGGAGGAGGAACAGGAAAAGGAGGAGGAAGATGAAGAGCCGAAGCCGAAGGAAAAACCTAAAAGAGGCAGAAAGTAAACATGGTCCACGACGGAACAGGGTCTACGCTTGGAAAATATCAAAGGTTTTTGTACTTGTACTTGTATAACCGTCTGTAGGCCGATTAAAAGGCCAATGCTTATATGGACTTGGCTCCAAATTCTCTCCGCTTCATCCTATCATATTTGCAGCTTTCGATACTACAAGTACGGTACTCCCACCTCATGATTGTCATTCCCTTCCTCCATAAATCCAAACCATGTTCCATCCTCCCGGTGCCTTATCTCCCAAACCTTATCACCGTGCAGTCCTATCGCACTACCAACTTGTACTTGTAACTGTCCCTAAGCACACGGACCCCCTAATGAGAGCAATTCTTACCCGTATCTTGGTGCAGAATCTATGTGGCATGTTCGATGCGATGCTAGTATGATGCCGCAGTCGCCAATAAGCCCTCCGCACAGCTGTGCCCCCTGTTCAGATCCAAGTGCTTCCCGGGCAAACCTTCCTTCCAGCCCATCCTGAGTAAGGCAAATATCATTTGTGCAAGACCAAGCATCACACCGGGAACTTGGCATATCGCGGAAGAGAAAACGCTGCGCGCGAGCATTAGTCTAAACGGTATCGTGCAGCGGAGGTCCAATCAACACCAAACCTGGGGGCGAGCGAGCCGAAAGGGATATTCTCCCTTACCGGGTTTAAAAAACAATCATTTCCCGGCTAGGAAAACATGTGGCGGCACTGTACGAGTACGAGTACTCACAAGTACCGGTATTGCAGCAAGCGTCTTCACTTCCCGGTACCGTATTGGATCTACAGTGATCGGAAAGCTGGTGGCGTACCCCTTAGATGATGATGAACGAATAGAAAAGAAGATAGTATATGCCATATAATTGTAGCGTGTATATGGTTTAATATTGAGAACATTCGGTTTAATTGGCATTGCTCGAGATTGCTGCTAGGCCTGTATATCTGTTCATCTCCACGACTGGAAAGGAATGTGGGAGGGGGGAGGAAATCTATTAGACTTCTTCACGTAAAGTATGATACCATGGATTTGGATAAGATTCCAGTGAAAGAAGCACCATAGAAAATCCCACATATCTTTACCGGCGCCTTAACCCTCTCTCTCAAACTCGATATAGACAGGAATCGAGTGATCACAATGTCCCGCCACTCCATAGATCTATCAGGTAGTTTTTGTGTGCAGAATCCGAGGCTCTCCTGGTCTATATGATAGTACTAGATCGCAATAATATTATAATAATATGCACGAAGCTCTAGAACTTACTCCTCCACTTTGGGGCTTGTATCCGAGCGCCCCGCTCGTTTGATCCAGTTACTATGAACCACATTACATTACTGGGTTTGCTGGGGCTGCTAATGGGATATTATAGGATATTCACTGCTGTTCACCGGAGAGCGAGCCTGCTAGTGCTTGCACCGCATAGACTATCACACTCGTGGTTTCTCGCTGTGTTGTGGCTAAGCCACGATTGACCTTCAGGTGATGTGGATGCAGAGAGAGAGAAAAAATATAATTTCCTGAATGATTGTGAGATCTGAGGAAACTGTGTGCTAAGATATTCCGAATGCTCCGTGGGCTTGTTACTGTGTTGTTCTTTTTTTTATTTTTATAGTTTTGTTGAGGTGGGGGTAATGTCTTGTATTATCCATGGCTGGCATTCAGAACTGCTCGTACTTCCAACCCGTAACCTTCCACCCACCCGAGCTAAAGATCTTACGGTACCGGTATTCCTCTCTTGGGAGAAAATCATCATCGTCCAACGATACCGTGTTCACATCCCCTCCCCCTCACACACACACTCTCTCAATCGCGGACGCATACTAAACCAAAAAAACCTATTTATGGTCAACTTATACCTCCCAGACCAGGTCTGTTGGAGGCGTAGTAGGCATGGTAACTTACCTTAGCGGCTAAGACGACGCTCGCGTGCATCAGAGCACTTCGAGCATTGTATCAGACTGAAGTGTAGCACAAAGCTTAACTTCCCCACTCACCACCCCCTTTGCTTGAGTACTCGTAACCTGGAACTGAAGGAACTGTACGGTACGATACCGTACTCGAGCTGGGTGAGACATCATGATACCGCACCCGAAGAATATTTGGAAGGGTCTTTATTGTGCAACAACGAACAAGATAACAAATTACAGTAGCTCAACCCGGTACAGTCTATTCACGATAAGCAGGCAGCTTGATTTCTTTTTTTATGGAACTAAGCCTCTCAAACTCTTTGGGCCAACAGGTACCCCACCCGCCCCCCCCGTACCCCTGAGACCCGGGCCTGGCTGATATCTGAAGGGCCAATAGAACAAGTGCTGCCGATGGCACCGCGCAAGAGGAGTAGTAGGAGTAGGAGGAAGAGGGAACAAAAAGCGAGGGATCTGTAACCCTCTCACCGGTAGCTCAAATTAATACCGTATTTGCCTACCCAGAAACAGAAATACCCGTGCATTCCACCCGAGGTGTTACCGGGTTTATATGTGATGTACGGTATGTGTGTGTGTACCGTATGTGCAAGGTGGGGGGAGGTGAATACGGTAGGACTGTGGTAAGGAAAATTTATTATATCTTGACTAGGGTCCGCACTTGCGCGTGCTAGATGGTTAGAGGAGAGCGAGGGGGAAAAAAAAGGTTAAGTCTTGACGAACAAGTGAAGAAGAAAGGAAGGAAGGAACGAAAGAAGGAACGAAGGATACTTAAGCACGACGTTTTCATAACTGCATACGGAAGTTTTTTTGGGGGGGTACGAGGGGTTCTATGTTGAGAAGGAAACAGAGACACGAGACAGATTCACGTTCACGATGGTGAGGTGGAGCAACAGTGGCCGAACCGCGCTCCCGCTCTTCTTGCTCTTGCTGCGGGGTACACTACCATTTTCCTCTGCCGGTCCTGCAGCAGCAGTAGGGGCAGATCTTCGACTCAGAGAAGCAAACCCACAAGAATGGGACCCTCCAGAGACGGTGACCATCACTGTAACGACCCGCTATACATTGACTGTCCTGACAACTCTGACCATCGACCCGGGAATATCGACTTCCATTGTTATAAGCGGGCCCACCTCCACTACCAAGTCCACAACAACCTGGACTTCCACCTTGATACCCACTACTACGACAACCATTACACCGACCTCCTCCACCGCAGCTCCCAAAATCCGCCGTCAGGTCCATCAACAGCCCAGCACCGTGACTATAACAATCACGATTTGGGCCTTCCCTGACGTAACAATAACCTCTACTATTACCGCTCCAGCAAGCCGCTTGACCACAATGACGAGTATGTCAATGAGCGTGACCACGGATATTGTCACAGAGAGCACGACAGCGACTAGTATTGTTACTGCTACCGCTACGGCAGGCACCGTGAGTGCGGCTGGTCAAGAAGCAGTGAAGAGCAAGAAGAAAGGTCCGCAGGTAGAGGTTATTATAGGAGCTACGTGTGCGGCGTCAATATTTGTCGCGCTCCTGGTGTTTTTGTATGTGAAGTTTGGCAGGGGGAGGGAGGACAGGGCGGTTGCTATTGGCGGGACGGGAGCAGTTGGAGCAACTGGTGCTGGGAAGAGACACACACCTTACGTGGGGAGGCCAATGAGCGGTAATCCCCCTTCTATCCATTCCGCCAGTGACGCGAATGAAATACTAACAACCAAACCCACTAGCAATAAAATCCCTCCTCCACACTCACAAACAACCCTACAACCCAGTCCCAGCCAGCGACACAAACATGCTCAACCCGGCAAACACCTCCTCGTCCACATCAGCCCCCTCCCCCCGCCTAAGCCGTCACTCCTACACCTACTCCCCCCCACCAGCGCCCACCTTCCCCGCCACTGCCGCCCCATCAACCTACCTCCCCGTATCCCCGACCCCTCCCCGCCTCCCGCAAATCTATGTGGCCCGCACGAATACCAGTTCAACCGTAAGCTCGCTTAGTAGTTCCGTTCACTCCGACCCTCCAGTCCCCATATACCCTCTCACCGCTGCCGGGGCAAGACCGCCGCCGGTGCGGGATGCGCAGTTCCACGCGCTCACGACGCCCGGCGAGGAGCGTAGGATGATCGCGCCGCCACAGCCGGTGGAACCCGAGGCGCTGTGGTATGGTCTGAATAGGGGTGGGAGTGGGGGTAGTAGTAGTGGTAGGATTAGCCTTAGGAGGAAGCCATTCCCTTGAGGGTTTATTTCTTGTATGATAGATAGGGGGAGGGGTTGGCGTTCCTGTATGATAGTTGATTTCCGTCTGGCGTTGCTCTTGTTGACTTCATCTCTTTTTCGGGGTTTTTGGGAGCCTTTTTTTTCCTCATATCTATCACTTTGTCGATTTTAATATTCGGGGCCTTCTCTTTTTCTTCCAACTCAGGTGTATATTTTATCATAATATTATGATAGTTATATTTGAAATTTCGTATGGTATGAGTACATTTCTGCAGGTAAAATACTCAGCATATAGCCCCCAGTGTCGTAGCACATCATAAAAGAGGCACCTCAACTGAGCACATTAGATCAATTCCAATCCGTGCTGGTTTGCTAACAGCTTAAGAGATATCACGAAAGCTCACTCGCCGACATTTCCGTATTTCCGCCAAGTCACGTGCGTGCATTAGAACCCGCACTCGCACTCATATCCTAGCGCTTCAATCATTCATTGGATCAAGGGGTGATACCCATCCGCGCATTCGGTGGAAACATTGATAAGAGCATAGCGTAGCGTAATGAAACAGAAAAACAGCGAAAAATATTCGTTTTTGAACAGTGTCATTACTTATCCATCATACTGCCGAAGACATCATTTTTCAAGAGCTGTTAAAAAGGGTTCAATCCAATGAAAGGGGAAAAGAAAAAAGAAGGGGAGAAAAAAACGTCAAGGGAATAGAGAAAAGGAGGGGGGAGGTGGAGAAATGGAATAATAAAACCCGCTCAGCAGCAAAAACATGTACACAGATCGATCGCTACCCAAGACAAGCCATCTAGAACGTAGTTTAAAGGAGGAGAGAGGGGGAGAGAGGGGAAACATGAAATGGAAAGGTCTAGTTCCAAAATGGGTATTAACCTATTCAACATCCTTTCTTTCGAATAATACATTCTCGGCTGGAAGCACGGATGCCTGATCCTCCTTATTTCTACTGAATATTGACATCATCCTATTGCGACAGAGGGCGAGTCAGTACAAGTCCGGGATTTAGTAATATAAGAATGCGTGACTAACCAGCTGCCTCTCTTGCTTTGTCTTTTCTCAAGCTTCACATTTGGATCCCCTACATCGTCCTTGTAATCCCCAGAGATCTTTCGCGAGCCTCCTTGGAGAGGCGGACTAACAAGGCCATTGCTCACATTCTCCTGAACCAGTCTCAAAGGTCGGAGCTTATTGCCCGCAATGGGTCCCACGGCTGCGCTATGCGTAGGTGAGGGCGCCGGGCGAGCCGGAAGATCACCGAGGTCAGAGGCTGTAGAGTCAAGGCTAATATCCGAGTTTCTTGGGCGATTGCCCTTGTTAAACTGTTCACTTCCGTAAAATGTTTGAGACCGCGGCGTAATTATTCCTTCACCGCGATAAAGATTATTGACCACGCTGGCACCGGAGTACACCGTATTAGCGTCAGATTGCGACCGTTTGTGCGCACCGACCGGAGGGGCGCGCATAGATTGTGATCTGGTCAATACTGCCTCACCCTCGGTTGGTTGTTTGGAGGGCTTCGCGTTATTTCGGTTGGCCAAAGATTTTGTCCTCTGAAGGATTTTACCGTGACCAGGCTCTTCCTCAGCTGGCGGAGGAGGTAGCGCCTTGTCAGTGCCAGTTGGGGCGGCTGCAGAAGCGCTGAGCGACGCTGTTTTATCAAGGATAGCCTCAGAATCTTTATGCTGCAAAATCCGCTCGATGATATTGTTAATATAGAGGGACATTGCTTTATTCTGCTCCTTCAGCGACTTCAACTCGCTCTCGAGCTTGCGATATTTCTCGGTTTCGCTATGGGCAGCCTCTTCGAGCTCTTCCGCCAGGTTGGATCCGAGAGAGATCGAATTCCGGGGCGAGCCTTGGACCTTCTTGACCACATGTGACTCCGGTTCGGGTTCGGCCTCTGAGAATGCATCGTTGTAATCGCCACGTGGGAAGTCCCCATTGAGGGCCGCTGAGGAAAGGAGAAGTTGAAAACTCTCATTATCCTCCATCAAACGCGCGTTCGTCATCCGGGTTTCAAGAAGCTGCTGCTCCAATTGGTGTAGCTTGGTACCTCCTTGGTGGTCAGCTTCGGCGAGCCGGATCTGTGCCTCAGCAAGTTCCAAGCGAAGCGACTCAATAAGTTTGTCCTTCTGGAGAAGAATATTGTTGCTGCGATTGGGAGCTGGGGCGTTGTTTGATGGGGCAAATCCGAGAGGTTCATCCGCAGGAGGGGACTCGAGCGCTAAAATGGGAAAAAATTAGTTCTGGGTCTCCGCATATAATATTCAAAGGGAACAGGAACATACAATTGCGACCGTCACAATCAGCAGATTTCTCACGCTGAGCAAGAGAATCCTTAAGCCGTTGGACAATAGCGTTAAGTTCTTCCTCCCTATCTAGCATCTCTTCTTTTTCTTGCTGGGCAGCGATTCTCTGGTGGGACAAGGCCATAATCAGATCAAGTCAAAAATATATTAAAATGAAAGCGCATGCTTACCTCTGCCTCATGTATGTTATCTTGATCCCTTTTTGTCCTTGTCAAGTCCTTAATTTGGATTTCAAAATTTTCAATGACCTCGTCCTTGCCGTGACATACTTCTTCCATCCTCATTTGTTCACCCAAAGCTTCCTCGAGCCTTATTTGGAGGGCCTTGACCTGCTTAGCGTACTCTTCAGCAGCAGCCTCAGCCGCGGATTCGCTTTGGGCCAATCTGCTACGTAGATCTTCCAGAATTGCTGCGCTCTCAAGGTCTGCATCAGAAGAGTTAGATGAGGGACGCTTGGCAGCAGAACGAGCACTGAGAGGAGATGAGATGCTGTTTCTGTTGGGATTGCCAGAGCTCAGCTCTCGATCGCGAAGGGTATTACGGCGCGCGACAGCGTTGGGCGGACCGACGGCTGGCCCGCTAGAGTTTGGGGTCGGAGAGCGAGCGGGTCCCCTAGTGGTAGAGGGGGCTGTGGGAGGCATGGAGCGTCGATTGAGTGGACTTGAAACATTGTTTCCCACAGGAGGTTTGCGCGTCGAAGCCATTAATGCGAGAGTTTACCAGGAGTAGAATTTATCAAGTGGTGAAAGTGCCGACGCCAGCCAGGCAACAACAGCCCGGTATTGGCACGAGAGGAAATTATGTTCCCTGGATAATTTTGAGCACGGCGGAAGGGGGTAGAGTGGCTAGGGAGTCAAGTGAACAATGGTGGGAGAGAGCGGAAGAGAGTGGGAGAGAGGGAGAGCAACAGCGTAGACCCAATACACAATCGCCGGCCAAAACGAGGATGCAGTACAGAACACGAGCGGACGATTCTATAGGTCAGGGGAAAAGAAGATGAGGGCAGACTGATATTATTTGAGGCGTTGATGTTGATTAGGCTAGGCTGAGGACGAATGGGAGATCATAAGAAGGTCGTTAAAGCGAGACGAGAGAGAAGGGGGAGAAGGGTACGGAAGCAGGAGCAAAGTGGGGAGAAGAGAAAAGAATAGGGTTTAGTTGTTATCCTGTCGGAAACAAGAGGGCTTTTGATGCTGGGTGGAAGGAGAGGGACGAGGAACTGGTCGAAGGAAAAGAAGAAGAAAAGGGAAGCACGGGGGAGGGAGAGAAGGAGGTGCAGGTGTTCTAACCAGTAGGAGGGAGGGATCATTGTTGCTATCCGTTGCTGGCAGCGACGCCGCCGTACAGTACCCCGAGCGGGTTCTGTCTGCAAGAACCCTTTATTTGTATTTCTTTTCGATAATGTAGAATAGGGAATATCACTTTAACCTCCACCCGCGGTAGCCCAGTTCTCCTCTCCTGACATCCTGCTTGCTAATTGCATGGTACACACGCTTCCCCTTCGCTTTTTTCCCCGGAGCACCACTGGCGGCATATCGCGATCATCCAGTCCTATCTAATGGCTTTTCCTCTTTGACAGGCCACTCCTCATCAGACATAACTTAATGACCAAGCATTGTGCTCACCACTTCCATGACTTCCACCCACTCACACTTCCCCATTTACAGTCTCTAGCCGAATACTCCATTCTGATCCTCTCCGCCTCTCACCCTCTATCTCCCTTCTCGCTCCCTTCTCCTCTCGATTCACTCGTTGCCTGGGTTTACTGGGAACAGAACAATAAGTTACTCCTAGCAGGCCTTGGCGGGGGTCTAAACGGTCAAACCGCAATGCTACATTCGAAAAAAATGTTGGGCCCCTATGGCCAGCGAGTGATCAAACCTGGCTGAACTCACGCAGGTATTTGCTCTCAAATCCGTGAAGATAGGGCGATAGGCGCTATTTCGGTGAACTCGTAGCCCAAATAGCTTGCAAGCTACCGCCAACCGGAAGCTCGGAGATGCCACATTACCGGTATCGATACTCATCATATCGCCGAGATCGCTTTTCTCGACTGGACCAGCTAGGCTCGGCAACCGGTTTTTGCCCTTCAGGTGTGGATATCCTGTCGATACCTTGTTTGGATGTCCGTATCAGAGATTAAGGATCAAACAAGATAGCATTCAGCCTTTTCTCCACCGCTAGTTTCTCCGGAGGCGGCTGTGGTTCTTAATTGGAGCAAAGAGTGGGCTGGAGGTTCTGTAGTCACGAGCATGAGTGATGCCTCGAGGATGATAGACTATGGCATGGATAAGCACGATGAAGACTTTCGGAAAAATGAGTGCTTAGTGTCTGGAAGTGTAATATGAACCCCCCACGGTCGACACAATAGCCACGCTCAGCCTTCTTTCCACTATGTATGTATCGTACTCAGTATATATTTTATCTGGGGCCCGCTTGTGCTCAAGTACAGTACAGTGCATAGTACAGTAAAGCAGCGGAAAACCGGGCATTACTAATTTCAGTACTTGGTCCCAACAGAAATAACTTTAACCATGGATACCGCAGCCAAGCACCGTAACACCTATCTGCCCCTATACCGGTATATAATACGAGCACGTACGAGTAAGTACTCTGGAAACACAATAAACCTCTCTCATACACCCTTGCACAGCAGTCGAGCACAAGAAATACGGGCGCTCAGGGGTAAACAGCCAAAGCCATAGGCATCTCAACCCCGCCCTAATTCCACCGCAACTGGACCTTTAATGATCCGAGTTCTCTTGGCGAAGGATCTGCTAGAAGTGAGAGGAATGGGGAGGAGGATCATTATCAGGAAGGGGAAGAAATTAAGAGGAAGAACGAAAAGAGAAAGTACGAGTACGGTATGATAGCAGTACGAGACCTGAAAGCAACCACAGGAGGGTAACTTAAGAAGAGGTGCGATGAGGTTCTGTATCAGCTACGCAGTCACCTTTTTCCAACCAGAAGATCACTCGAAAGATCGCTCGGCTAGCATAAATCGACACTCGATCCAGCGTTCCCTATTATCATCTGCGGGATGAGAGTAATGTCGAACTCATGCACCCTACCCTACCAATGAAGAGGTATGGGGGATATAAAAAAAGGTTGTTTGCAAAACCGCGGGTCTGCCAAGCCACCACCAATCACAAATTGTCGCGCTGACGTTCCCCGCCTCATGCGCTGCGACTCGATGAGATTGAAAGAAGCGGGGAAAAAAACTCTGGATTAACCATGCATGGCGCGGAAGGTCGGGTAATCTGGTATCCATACACAGCGATGTTTTCTGGGAGGTAGGGTAGTCGGGTGACGGCGGTGGATGGGGTAATTTGTAACTTTGGAGGAAGGAAAATGTCAAGTGCCTGAGGGCTCAGCGAGGCGGTACCCTCAGCGAGGCTCGGCGCAGCTTGGCAACAACAACCTGCCGCCTTGGAGAGTGCGACACTATAAATGAGGTGAGTGCAAACCTCTTTCTCATCTCTTTTCTTCTTGCTATTATGACAGCTAACCTACAAAGGCATCAGCCATCACCAAGGTAGGAGTTGCATCAACTTCAGCTCCACTAAAATGTTCTGGGCCTTCCAAGTCCTCATCAATTTCTTCTCTTCCACTAACATCCACATTTCCTGCCAATTCTCCAATGTGTTTTTTAATTTTTTTAATCCATTGCTCTACCTCCTGAATTTGTTCCCTGAGACGGCCCTCTTCCTGCAAGAGTTTAGCTTCAGTCTTACACATTTTTTAGGTAAATTTCCAATTACTTCCAACTTCTCTGCTATTAGGAATACTGAGATCCGATACCTAGGAACCACCCTAAGTAGGGTAACCCCACTCGGAATCAGAATCTCTAGTCTCCAACACCCTCCTCTGGCCTCCTTACATGACCTGCATGTCCTAATACATATATCAGCTACATCCTGTGACTATAAGACAACAGAATTTAAGGTGTAAGAATAATACTGTATACATCGCTGCTGTTTGTCCAACTAGATTCTGTTTGCAGGATATATGAGAGGGGACCTTCAGCTAGGTCTGAGAAGTAGAACAGAGTGAATCCGTCAACTACCCAGAGAGTTACTAGGCTTCAGAGATGTAGCATCTTTGGTAAGGGTTGTAAGTAACAGTATATTTTTGCATAAAAATATGGTATTGAATGTTAAAAAATTTCTACAAGAAACCAATACATTCTCACCCACCATATGATAATCAGAAGAGTCTAGAACTCTGAGAAACACTACTATAGAAGCCAATAGACTTTATGGAGTGTTATAACTGGGTCTGGGAGTATGTTGTAGTTGCGGGAGTAATTTTCAATGGTAAAACAATGATGGAAATCCTGTTACCTGGAGCAACTAAGGGTTACCGACCGAGGAATGATCTGCCAATCTGGTAGAATGGCTTTCTGAGACTTAGTAGAAAGTTATTCGGAAGATATCTGTTGGTTGGGTTCGGAGTTATAGAGGTTTAATATCAGGCAACCTAGAAAGATTGAAATTACAACTACCTCCGCAGATACAACTCGCAGATGAAACTGATCATTTCATCAATAAGGGAGACAATTGGGGCCAACTCAGTTTAACTTGAGAACTAGGTTATAAGTCTAAAGACTCTGAAGATCGGATAATTACTATTGAGAATAGTATTGAGAATAGTATAGTTTCCAGTTAGTAATATCATAATTACTGAAAATAATATGGCGATTTTCAGGGTCTCGAAGTGTTCGCATCTTTGAAGAATACCTGATGTTGCAAGTTATAACTAGAGAGATACATAGTTTATATAATAGATAAATGTAGTCTGAGAACACTCAGACGCAGAATATAAATATTGAAGTGCTTTCCAAGATTTTAGACACCATCAAGCAACAGAGAAGAGACCTTAACCATATAATATTGCTCTTACGATTCTATTCTACTTTAACTACTTTACCTTACACTTAGTAGTTATAAATAAAACAAGTATAGTTTGAGCCTTCCTAGATAATCTCGGTCTACAGAAACGAATCTTGGTTGACCTAGACAACTCTGAGTCTATACAGATTGTCTTTGCCTAATATCTGTATCCTTCTTTTTTTGAATATATTTCTCTAATTTTTCTTTCCTAGTAGCAATAAGCTTTATTATATGAAGATACTTCTATTTTGCTTTTTAAAGCTCTTCCATAGATTGCATTTCAAAAAACCTCTCAATGTCATTCTTATTGATTCAAGCCTTACTCTAAGTTGATATTCTACTCTAATTTACAGTTTTCTTCGATTTTAACTCTACTAACTGACTTTGCAGATTTCTGTTGCACTGCACTTTTGACTCAATCTTGATCAGTATCTGAAATCCATCTAAGGCAATATTGCTAATCAGTTGTTTTAGTACTCAAGACACTTAATTATAGGTTGGTAGTATTGAATATGATATTAACTCCTGCTGCTTGTTTTCTGCCTTACCTTGTAATGATTCTACTTCTCTCTTGTTAATTCCTCAACAGGTAACGACTTTACTTCTTATATTTCCCCAATATCTGGATAGCTGGAAGAACTATTATCTTCACTATCACTTTTGATAATGAAGATCATTTTATACTTGTGTTACCTCTCATAGGTGAGACCTCTCTCTCGTGTAGTATTGTGAAAGCTTTGTATAATGAATCAATTCGACTTACAGTATAGGAAAGAACTAAAGTATTTATGTGAGGAGTCTGTATTGAAAGATTTTTTTTTTTTTTTTATAATCATTTAGTTACTTGTTTAAGGTACAAGAACATCACATGTAGTGCTGGCTATGGCATTAAGAAAACCCCTCCACCCAGGACCAAGAGAAAACCCCTACCCCTAAGATCCTCTGGTATGGGCCCAACCGCACACACTCCAAGGGCGATCAACTCAGGTGCCCAACCCGCAGGCCTCACGACTTGAACGCGAAAGGGTCTCGCCTAGAAGCTAACTAAAGGCCCAAGAAAATTGCTCGCTCGAAAGAAAATCCCACCCACTAACTATACGTAGCTAACAGGAAGGAAACCAAACAAGCTAAGTAGGAAAGTATAAGGAAAAACTCTATCCCGTAAACTACTAGACCCGTAAGGGCCACAAAAAAAAAAAAAAAGAAAAAAAACAACAACTGCCTACTGTATTACCAGATTTGCTGTTTTAAAAGAACCGCCCCTGAAGTGGGCGGCCGGCGAAGAGCCCTAAGGCTGAGCGCCCCTAA